ATACAGTTGTTAAGAAGGCGTTCCAGTTTGTTCAGAAGATCTTGGGACAGATCTGGGTAACACACATCTGCATAATCAATTATGGGTAATATGAGCGAATGGACAAGCATGATTTTAGTTTTTGTGGGAAGAAAATGTTTTAGACGATACAGAGAGCGTAAAGTGGCAATGACTTTACGACTCACTTCTGAAACCTGGGTTCTCCAATTCAACGTGCTGTCGATATGTAGGCCAAGATTTTTAACAGAATTACTGAACGGAATTATAATACTATCATAATAAATAGGAGGTAAATCTGCCAGATTAATCTTAGCTAGCATTCTTGAGCTACCCACTAGTATAGCTTGGCATTTCAAAGGATTGACCAAAACTCCATAACGAGTAGACCAATCTTTGATAGCTGATAAGTTGTCGTTAAGTTTTTTGATCCCATTATGTATATCCTCAAATTCAGTTTGCACATAAAGCTGAAGGTCATCGGCGTACAAATGATACGAGCAGTCGAGGATGGAGGTAATAAAGTTTATGAAAATTGAAAATATTATAGGAGAAAGAGTACCGCCTTGCGGCACACCAGCATCCACATCAGCCCAAGCTGAGGACATTTGCCCCACACAGACTGACTGCTGTCGACCGCGAAGATAAGATGCAAACCATTCCAAAGCAGTAGGACCAAAATTCAGGTGAGATAGTATGGAAAGGAGGATTTCATGATCAACTGTGTTGAAAGCATTTGAGAAATCAACTAGTACCAGTACTGTTATCTTTTTTTCTTCCATACCTTGTCTAATATTATCAGTAACATTAATTAAAGCAGTAGCGGTACTATGACCAGGGCGAAACCCAGACTGAAATATACTCAGTAGGTTATGTTTCGAAATAAAAGTAGAGATTTGCTTGTAAACACAGGATTCTAAAATTTTGGAAAGAAAGGGTAGAATAGATATTGGGCGAAAATGATTGGGAAGAATGGGAGTAGGAACTTTTGGGAGAGGCTTTATAAAAGCCCTCTTCCAAAGATTAGGGTACTGACATGAATCAAGGGAAAAATTGATGATATGGGTAATTGCAGGAAGAAGGTGCTCTAGTATAAATACTACCATATGTCTACTAATCTCATCATAACCCACCGCCTTGGATTGGATTGCTAAAATAGACTTTTTGACATCATCCTGAGAAACAGGAGAAAAATTAAAGGTAGGAATGTTAGGAGTTTGCATAGAAGCAATGGATGTCATAGTTTGGGAGCGAATTGTAGGGTCCAATGCTTTTACAGAAGCGAAATGTTGGTTGATTTCATCGAGTGATAGAGAAGGACCACAATCCAATGTAGCTGGCCTGCAAAGACCAAAAGATCTTAGAAATTTCCACACTACGACTGGTGAAGAGTTATTAATACAATTATGGAAATATCGGCGTTTAGCTGCACGTACCATCTGATTACACCTATTCCTGGCTGCTTTAAAAGTCAACCAATTTTCTTCAGTACGATCTCTCTTGAAACGAAGAAAAGCTCGATTTCGTCTAGACATTGCCAACCTTACGCCCTCCGTCATCCATGGGGCAGGCGGACGCTTCAATCTGACCTTATGAACTGGTGCATGAGCATCATAGAGGCTGAGAACATTGTGGTTAAGAATCAAGACTTTATCGTCAACAGTAGGTGCTGCAATTAAAGAGGCTAGATCGAGATTAAGAGCGTCATTCTTTAGCTTGTCAAAGTCTATTTTAGAAAAGCTGCGAAGATGCATTACAGTAGGTGAATATTTGGGTGGTTTAAGCTTATACGAAGCATAAATCAAGTCATGGCGTGAGATACCCAAAGCGGGTAACTGACCGTGCATCATCACACGTTCAGGAGAAGCAGCAAGGATTAAATCAATCAATGAGTCATCGGTTCCGATATTATGATGAGTAGCCTTTAAAGGGAGAATAGAAAGATTAACCGACTCAATAATTGAAAGAAGCTTTTTGGAACGAGGGCAGCTTTTCAACAAATCTGTATTAAAGTCACCCATGATTATACAGTGTGTATACTCAGAACAAATATCAGTGAGAGCCATATCTAAAGTGGCGAAGTAGTCAGTCGAAGGGGGGCAATACACTACCCCTAAAAGCATCCTGATGCCCTTGACATCGAGTTCCACAAATAAAAACTCAGAAGTAGCAGAATAGCAGGAAGGAGATGTTAGAACAACTTTGTGAGGAATTGATGCGTGTAGGTAGATGGCTACACCACCTCCACCTTTTCCAACACGATCATTTCTAACGAGTACAAAGCCAGGAAGGGGATATAAAGTTGAAGGTAAAGTAGGCTTCAGCCAACTTTCCGACACTAATATGGCATGAATATACTCGGGGAAAAATGAAGCTTCAAGTTCGGAATAGTGGCTCGGGATACTTTGAGCGTTAATATGGCATATGTTCAGAGAGTTGTTAGAAGATGTACAAACTCCTTTGAGTAGTTCATGTAAATTAAGAACGCTATCATTGAAAGAATCATCACAAGAGTGAAAAGATAAACTAGAAGATTCATTAGCAGAGCTAAACAACTCAACATCAGACATAGTTTATGGACTAAAATAAAAATAAATTAAATAAATATAAAAAAAAAATTAAAATAAATACACAAAAAAAAATTTACGAATGTACACTTAAGACTAATTTATAAACTAACACTTACTAAACATAAACATCACCAACCCATCAGTTCACTGTTTACAGAGTAAACTTAATAAAATAAATTTTATATGCAAACATAGGATCTATAATATCTAGATCTAAGTTATTCTTATCTAATAATAATGTTAATATTTCTAAGTAGGTGTCATACAAAATAGTACAAGAGAATATTTACCAAAAGAAAATCGATTAAGTGAAAGTAAAAAAAAAAAAAAAAAAAAGAACGACATTGGCTGAATGACACATGTGTCCTTTGTCTATCAAAGGCTAAAAAAATGTTATTGTCAAAATCAAAACTCATAAAAATCAAATTGAAAATAATAATATGTGGTAGGTACATTTGCAAAATAGTATTATTACCAATATATGTACCAAGCATAGTATAAACCAACCAAAGATAATGTAATGTAAATAATAAATAAAATATCTTTGAAACCAACCTATTGAGTAAGACACCTCAACTAAGAAACAAAAGAAAACTAAACGCAAGAAGTTGTGTACTACATGATTAAAATCTTATTAAATATTAATATAGAAAAACAAAACATCATATGGAGATTATAATATTATTAGACAAAAAAAAAAAAACTAACTTAAAGAAAAAGCAATAATACAGCTATTAAAAGGCAAACAACTTATGATTACAGACAATATTGTTCTGTGCTATAGACATAACAACCATGAAGATGCGAGTCTACAAATAATTAATATGTAAATTAATAATATAGAAAAAGAGAAAAAAAAACACGAGAATACGAGAATACATAATTAAAATAAAGGATACCTAGGAATATCATATGTGAAATTAAGCAGGCTATTTTTTGGCTACTAAACGACGGGACCTTTTAGGATCCTCTTTCTGCCCCACTATACCATCTTGATTGCGTCGAGAAATCTCAGACAGAATTTTTCCTTCGATTTGCCGACGATATAGTCCTTATGGCAGAATCGCTGGAGGACCTAAGCACTATGCTCAATGACCTCAATAGTGTCTCCCAATGGATACGTCTTAAGATGAACATGGACAAAACAAAGATTATGTTTAATGTCCATGTCAGACCCATGTCGGTAGTTGTTGACGAGTATGTTTACCTGGGACAAATAGTCCAACTAGGTAAGTCCAACTTCGACCGAGAGGTCAATCGACGGATTCAACTCGGCTGGGCAGCGTTCGGGAAGCTACGACACATCTTCTCGTCAGACATACCTCAAAACCTTAAAACGAAATTGTACAACCAGCGCGTGTTGCCAGTGATGACTTACGGAACTGTGACGTGGTCCTTCACTGCTGGCCGTATGAGGAAGCTCAAGGTCGCTTAGCGAGCTATGGAGAGGGCTATGCTCGGAGTTTCTCTGCGTGATAAACTTAGGAATGAGGGTATCCGCAGTAGAACCAGAGTGACCGACATAGCCCAACGGATTAGTAAGCTGAAGTGGCAGTGGGCCGGCCATATAGCTCGAAAAACCGACAACCGATGGGGAAGAAAGGTTCTTGAGTGGCAGCCTCGTACCGGTAGGCGAAGTGTAGGGCGACCCCCCACGAGATGGAGTGACGACCTGGTAAGACATGCAGGAAGTCGATGGATGCAGGTGGCTCAGGACCGTGCTTTGTGGCATTCCTTGGGGGAGGCCTATGTTCAGCAGTGGACTTATGAAAGGCTGTAATGATAATGATCATAATAAAGGCTCAGAGAAGATGCCGACAATCGACCGACATCCATGTTCATCCATCCAACAGTCAAACACTGGAACGTATCGATTACGCGCTCCAGGAGCGCCGCCAGCGTCATGAATGACCGCGCCGACCAGTGCGTTCCATGGAACGTGTTTCATATGTTCGAAGTGTATCAACTAAGCGCTCCTGGCGCGCGCGGCAGGTGTTCCAGTGTTTGACCGTTCAACATGGATGTGGGTCGTGTATGAACAGGTGCCGCTTTCATAGTTCCATGCATCTTCTCTGAACGCTTTATTATGATAAAAACGACTTTTGCTATTCCACAGCAGTACTTTTTAACCATATCATTTTATCAATTTACGGCAACTTTGGTAATCCATAGCTCGGAACGCACACACAAATGATGAAAACAATCGTCCGAACTGGCGCGGGCACTAAAACTACTTTGATGCGCGGTAAAAAACCGACACTAGATGGAGCGGCCCGCTCCACGTTTGAGCGTTCCAACAAACAATTTGGCGCGCGTTCCAAGGCGGTATCCATTTCGCGCGGCTGGAGAGCGCGCCAATGTTCGACCTCTTGGGGCGCGTAATCGATAAGTGGCTGAGAGGCTCATGATGATGACGAAAAATTATTTACGTACCATTCATCATTCAGATCCAATAAATAGGAAGATTTCATATCCCTTGTTACATCAAAGTTTAATATTAATGCATGGCCCAAGTTTGACAGTTTCACTGCATACGATCCATCAAAGACATCCCAGCCATAACTTATAGCGGTTAAAATGACAGCTGGATTCCAGCATCCTTCAACAACATGCAATATATCTTTAGGTAAGGCATTCTGAAATATTAGTATTAATATTATTAAAATATATGAAAGAAAGATAATAGTAGTTTGTATGTTCTACAAATAACTTTCTAGGGTCAGAAAATCCTAATGTAGCGGTATAGTTTTTTTAAATATAATTCTGTGGTCTGTAGCATTCTACAAGATTTTTTTAGTATATTCTAGAATATAGAGTATATTTACAAAATTAGACAATGGATTGTCTTCCACATGTGGCAATTATTCCACATACGGCAGCATTGTGGTGGTTTGCTTAATTTTTAAGTGTCATTCAAGGGCTCAGATGGAGTGAAGTGACTTCGATCAAGGTGACTCGCGGCTCCTTGTTCCAACTCATAGGCATCAGTGCAGCAAACTTGCAATTAGAGACTAATGACTGCACAATTTACAACATTCTGTCTTGAATATTCTTTCCGAAAAAAATAAAATATATTAACAATATTTCTAATACAATTATTTACTAATATATTAGATGCGACACTTATTTTAAAGAACATGAGACAACTACTTGGATAGCAAATCTACTAAACTATCACTCGAGAAGCCATGATATATTATTGTCATTTCGAAGCTTAAACAATATTGAGACTCACTCAATAATATTTATTTTATAGAAATCATATTTTTGTTCAGCAAACAACAGTCGGAAGCTGTCTGAACCTCAAGACAACTACTTTCGGATTATTACTACTACTAGTTTCCAATTAGATGAAATGTTGTCGAAAAATTAAATCTCATACACAAAAATCATTTTACCCTCATTTAAAAATGGTCACAAAGGTATGTATATTCATCATTTATTGCTATAGACAGGTTAGTGCCATCCACTGAAGAATCAACATTATAACTTTTTGTCAGTGCACATGCTGGTGAAGTTGTTATTTTTTAAATTTATATAACACTTATATCATTAAACGAACAAATGACAGTTGAGTTCAAATTCATTACATACCGAAACTTTCTCAAAAATTGCTTCTAATTTGTCTATAGGTACATCATTAGATTCTTCTGTTCCATCTGTTAATCCAGAAAGAGCTACACCACCAAGGATATCCTTATGTCTTAAAAAATGTTGTAGACTTTCCTCCAACTTCCTAGATTGTGCACAACCAACAACGACTCCTGAAAAGTATATTGGTATTTATATAAACACTTTCTATAGCTTAGTCATGATTTCACAGCTATAGCTGCATAAAAGTAAATATAGATATATTTATTACACTGTTGGTATTAGAGTAGTTGTGGATGGACAGTTTTTTCTTTCGGACCTTAACACATTATGTTTAAATAAGAATGGTTTTAAAGTATTTTCACCACCATAATCATCAACATACTTCATAAGCCCACTGCTGAACATGGCCCCAAGTAATGCCACAAAGCATGATACCGAGTCACTCGCATCCATAAACTTTCTGCATGTCTTATTGGGTCTTTACCTCATCTAGTGGGGGCTAACCTACACTCTGCTTGCCAAGGTGCCACTCTAGATCCTTTCTTCTACCATCGGTTGTTAGTCTGTCAAGCTGTCTGTAAGCCGAAGTGACAATGTTCTGGCCATATGCCAGCACATTGTCACTTCGGCTTACAGACAGTAACTGTCAGTTACACTAGTTCTGCTGCAAATATCTCATATCATATATTATTATAAGATTATATCACGCACAGATACTACAAGCGCGTGACCTAAAGCTTCCTAATACAGCCAGCAGTGGTGAAACACCTCACAATTTCATATAATGTATATATATATAATCAATAGCAAATTTGTTTCAGGACTATGAGGTATATGTGACAAGAAAACTGAAAGTATTAATAGTGTTAAAGAAATAGTAGTGCAGCAGTAGATGGTATAATTGTACATGTAGAAGCACACACCTATAGTACGAGGGTGGATTGAAAAGTACTCGGCCTAACACAGATCCATTCAATTCTAAAAATCAAATCTACCCACATTATTTAGTTCAGTTCAGACTAGTTCATTGTGTGAAGTTCGAAACGTGTGCGATAATTAGTTGTGATTTTATAAATTTATTAACAAAGTAATCGGACATAATTTCCGCGAATGGAGCAAATCGAGCAGCGTGCCGTCATTAAGTACCTCCATAAGAAGAGGCTATCATCAAAAGCCATCCATGATGACATGGTCAGTACATTAGGCGATTGTGCTCTGTCATATTCATCCGTCAAAAAATGGATAGCAGAATTTAAGCGTGGTAGAGAGAGTGTGAAAGATGAACCCCGCTCTGGAAGGCCTTCGACGTCAACTACTGACGAAAATATTAAAAAAGTACTTGATTTAATAATGGGAGACCGCACATTAAAAATTAGAGAGATAGCCGAGATTAGAACGAACTCAAAACATCATTGTCAACGAGTTGGGTTTCCACAAGGTGTCTGCGAGGTGGGTTCCGCGACTGCTTTCAGTTGAACAAAAAAGGACGCGATTGACTATTTCACGCGACTGTTTGGAGTTATTTGAAGCCGATGCAGATGATTTTTTGAATCGTTTTGTTACTATGGACGAAACATGGGTTCATTACTGTACACCGGAAACAAAACAACAATCAAAACAGTGGAGAAGACCTGGTTCACCACCCCCTAAAAAGGCTAAGTCGATTTTGTCGGCAAATAAGCTGATGGCTTCAGTATTCTGGGACTCGAAAGGTGTGATTATGATTGATTATCTTGAAAGGGGTCAGAATATAAACTCTGATTACTACTGCACCTTACTACGTCGTTTACGAGAGGAAATAAAAGAAAAACGTCGAGGAATGCTCAGAAGAAAAGTCCTGTTTCATCAAGATAACGCCCGTGTTCACACGTCAGTACAGTCAATGGCTGAAATTCACAACTGTGGCTTTGAACTGTTACCGCATCCGCCGTATTCACCTGATCTGACACCATCAGACTTCTTTCTGTTCCCTAACCTAAAAAAGCACTTGGGAGGTCAAAGATTTTCGACAAACGACGAGGTCAAAGCAGCTGTAGACGCATATTTTGACTCTAAGGAAGAATCATTTTTTTTCAACGGTCTAAATGCTTGGAAGGGGAGGTGGCAAAAGTGTATTGAACTTGATGGTGATTATGTAGAAAAATAAAAATATAACTGATTTAGTATTTGCTTATTTTCTTGGTTAGGCTGAGTACTTTTCAATCCACCCTCGTATTTTTTTTTACATGGTGAAATGCAAGATGTAATAGATCCCCCTTCAGAGTCCTATACTTGGAGGACATTGGGCTAAGAAAAAAGTCGGAAACACCAATTTTCCTGAATCCAACTGCGGATCTGGTCTCTGGTTCTACTACCAACTAAGTTTCAGCCGTGGAGGGTAGGGAGAGCGGTGCAACGCCATACCAACACTGCTCTTTCCCGCGATTCCACTTCGGCTGCAGCGGTAGGTGGAGAGAACACCCCTCTAACCTCAGCTCACCAACAACATCTTGCCAAGCCCATTCGGAGTAGCTACCTCGGGTTAGTCATGTGGGTTCCTCTTTGTTCACCATGGGTGACTAAACCACTGCTACCAAACCCTTTCCCCTGTCACGACAAGGTTGAAAAACCGTTCGGGGGATGAGAGGGGGGGGGGCACACACTTAACCTAACCTATCCATATCTAATGTAATGCTTATGTAATAAGATCATTTAAGTAGATTAGGACTTAAACCCAGAATTATCACCATACTAGTAGCAAGGTACTTTTTGAACACTAGGTCGGGTGACCTATAGTTTTCTCTAAATTATTAAGATAGAACATACCTACAAGGCAACTATTCTGCAGTTCCTTCGATACTTTGTATCTCTCAACACATGTGTTTAACATCTTGGTGGTTCTGTCAACTGATTTTGCAATTCTCTTGTAGCCCTCTTCAAGAGACATACGGCTATCTGCAATCGCCAAAATAATGTCGGGTTTGAACACTTCCATTAGATCCATATATCTGTAAGTTTTTGTAATTAAACTAAATTTAAAAAACAATGGTCAGTCAAAATGTTTCAAAATTTAAACAACTAGGCCCTCAAATGTTTATTGAAAATGTTACTGTTTACAGTTTAAGAAACGGACTAAAAGGCTGATGATGATTAAAATTCATAAATCAATTTCACAATATTTTAAAGATTTTTTTTATCTAATTATGTTCCCATCTATATTGTTTACCTTTACAGCCTATTAAAGTCCACTGATGAACATAGGCGTAATATTGTTTAAAGTAACATGAAGAACATTACATTACATCATTTAAGAAAAACAAGATCTCTGTCCTTGTAAGTAATACAAATTCATTGTAAAAAAAAGAAGTAACCACTTTTTAGAGATTTAGATGACCTCTATCATATTAGCAGGTGGTTTGGTAACTGCAGTTTTTTGTATTGTCATAGAATTGTTATCAGGAGTGCTGCTGCCCAACTCCTATTTTGGGGGTCTCTTTTTCGTTATTTCAACAACCATGGGATATTATTATGGGATAGTGGATTCTCATAAGCCTGAACATGGAACATGAAATTAGCAAATTTCTAATTTAAATGCAGATTTTAATTAACTTTACTTATTTTGGTTAAAACTAATTAAAAATGTGTGTGGGGTCACCTGTCAGCTGATATCATTTTTTTTCCATGCTTTGTCCATAATGGTACTTTATCTACTTCAAAATGACCAGATGGCGTAACTTCATTCATGTTTTGGAAGGTGACACATGTAAAATGTTCTTGCAAGCCTGCAAATTGAGCTACACCTTTCCCCTGTGCTTTTAAACCATTTTCTAAATGTGCTGAATTAGAAAGGGGTACCCACAGGAGTTTAGAGTCAGAGAAAACTCTAGACAAAACATCTGCTGTTAAATGAACAACACTGCCACCCTGAAACAATTAATAATTCCAATTTTGAAAATCAATCTAAGCTAATAATGCCACTGACACTGGCAAATAAAATAACATAAATAGACTAATAAATAAAATAATATACTTGTTTTTTTTTATCAATTCAGTCATCATTGAGTTGTGAGCCACAGGTTCCATTCCCACATTGAACAAGTATTTTTATGCCATACAAATAATCGTTCAGAGTGTGGATGTTTGCCCTTGTGTAATTTATGTATGTATAATCTTTTTTTTTTATATAGGATCGGGTGACAAACGAGCACACAGTCCACCTGATGGTAAGTGGTTACTGTGACCCATAGACATCTACATCTATCCTCAATAAAGACTCAAGATGCAGATGCGTTGTCACCCATGAGGACTAAGATGGAATGCCTCTTTGCCAGTAAAAAGGGTCTCCGGTTCTCTACACTCACCATACGAAACACAGCAGCGTTAAGCTGCAATTTTACGCCGGTTTTCTGTGAGAGCGTGGTCCTTCCCCGGTCGAGCGGACCATTCGTGCTACAACCATAATATAGCTGCAGCATGGCTCTACCACGTAGAAACTGCCTCCACAATGCAGGAGAAAATCATAGCATAACATTTAAAAACAAATATTAGCTCTCAGGGTATGCAGATAAATATCAAAAAATGGTTATACATTTCAAGTAGGTAAATTGCCAATGTGCTTTATTTTTAATATTTATCTATCTACAGACTTCTTATTACTTATTATTTCAGTAATTTTTTGTTTTCATACTAAGATAGCATATGAAAAATTTCTGATGCTATAATAATATGGCCACTGTAGCTTACTGTTGTAGTTGTTTAGAAATTCATGTGACCCGTGAAATGAAAAATTATTTAATTTCGTTAGAAATGTTTACATTTATGCATGGTTAGTGTGTTCATAAAAATCCATTTATACATCTATACAAATAAATAAAATTGGTGTCTGTTTGTAATGTCAAAATTACAGTTTTTTACTAAATGCATATGAAAGTAAATACGGTACTTATAACTATAATACAATTTTTAAAATTTTTGTCTGTCTGTTTGTTCTGGCTAATCTCCGAAATGGCTGGACCAATTTTGACGAGACTTTTGCTGGCAGATATCTGATTTCATAAGGAGTAACTTAGGCTACTTTTATTTTATAAAAAGAATTACAGTTCCGCGCAAAAACATAAAAACCCTAACATGGGAGCGAAGTCGCGGGGAACAGCTAGTATTTTATATTTCTAGAAATTGAACAATATAAGAAACACTTCTATTTCTATAAAATAGAAATAGATTAAGCTAAGTAAGCTTATTTACAGAAATTGAAACTAGTCGAATACTCTGTGTGACTTTCATGAATTACTTGACACTGGCAGAATCCATTGCAACTTGCCAAACTAGGAACAAAAAATGGAAATAGAAGTGGATCTTCGGAAAGTATATATCAAGCTATCTGAAGCTATCATTCTCTCTGCAAAAGATTCAGCTGATGAGTACCATAGATGTTTTGTAAGTAACAGGCAACTGTATGTACATGTATACATAAATATTAATATTTTTTTTTACATACAAATATGAACACCCTCTCGCTCTTTAGTTTAATCCACGTGTAATGTGTAAGTCATAAATAAATGAATATAGTAGGCAATTCAAATATGTACCAATTGTGTTATGTTTATTTATAATTTTTTTTAATGCTGATTACTCACGTTTTACTCAGGAAAATACATACTTTGAAGGAAATAAAATGAAAACTAACCTGCGTTAATAGAGCCGCAGTCGGTGTTTCTACCACGGCTGATGGCGTTTTTAAGAATCCAGTCATAGATCCAACTCGTTCACTACCCGAGCTTAATTTTTTAGTAAAAAATCGCATTTTAATTTTAAATATCAATATAATTGCACGCGCCCTAACGATAATCTCATGTTGTAATCAAAGAGAACTGAGAATGTCTGTCAGTGTCAGTGTCAGATTCAGATGTCAGTGTCAGCTCGTCAACGTCAGTCGTAAATCGTAAACAATAGGCACTCAATAGGTATTCATAATGATTCATAACGATTCAGTCCTACTTCTCTAGTATATATACAGTAATCTATGGTTCTACTGTAGGGAAAAGGGTCACAGTAGGACCCTAAAAACTACCGTGAAATCAACGTGATTACTATTGTCACAAATAGTATGCTAAATTTTGACGTTGATTAAAAGAGTTATAAAATAAACTGACGGAAATTTTTGGATGTAATGTGTAAGCTGGATTTAGAAAGAGAATAGGATGTGCGGACGAGGTGCTTTCTTTGCATATAATCAAGGAGCTTATTGATGTGCCAACTGCCAACTCGGAAAAACTGAAAGTTGAAATTCACGCAACTCGAATTAAACTCTAGTTACGTAACTCGAGTTAGCAGGGCGAAACAGAGTAAACGATTTGTTACAAATTCCTTTTTTTATAAATTTGTTTTATACCTAACTGTTTGTTGCATTGGTACAACTATCATTAAACTTATATAGAAGGTAGAAATAAAATTGAAAAATATATTTAAATTTTTTTGACGGCTCCGTGGCGCAGTGGCTTAGCAATCAGTTATTGCACTGGGGGCCGCGGGTTCGAATCCCGCACGGAACAAGTATTTGTATGGCTTGCAAATAATTGTTCCAGGTTTGTCCTTGTGCAATTTATGTTTGTAAACTGCCTCCACGACACAGGAGAAAATCCTAGTGTGGGGGTAACGTTTTAAAAAAAAGATCAGAAAAGATATATTTAAGTAGTACGTATGTGTCACATACTTATGTATTTTCGGTTTTAATCTTTATTATAGTAAATACCTACCTATATTTAACAACAAAACTAGCTGTATAATAGTCTTCACAAACCAATATCATATATCACATAAAAACAAGATGTAGCTAGGTACATAAGCTATTAATAGTTTAACTATCACAGTCACAGTATTCTTAAATAACTTAGCTATTTAATTCTAATAACAAATTATTTTGGTTGTAGCGTTAACTCTTTGAAACACAAAGCGCGCACAAAACTAACGAAATGGGCTCTTACTTTTACGCTGGCTCGCTTGATTATTTCACGTACAGACAGCCCAAACTCGAGTTAGGGAGATCCAACTTGAGCTAACTCGAATTAAGCTCAACTCAAATTAACACGCTAAAGTTGACCCATCGCTAAAGGAGCTGTTTTAAATTAACAGAAATAAAATATTTTTACAGGAACTTTAGTTATGGAAATAAGATCAACGGGGCCTACACGGACTGGTTTAGCAGCACAGCACAGGGTAGAACAGGGCTGCACGCGTGTGTACGTGCTTGCATCCGTGCGTGCGTGTGTGCGTTTTCTCCTTTCTCATGTTATGTTAAAGGATTTATTTATTATCATTTATCTTAATCGTATAAAAATTTGGATATAACACGTTCATACAAACCATAAAATAAAGTAAAATATAAATAAAATACGTTTCGAGTCATTGCCTCGTAAAATATAAAGATTCATATGAACTCTAACACCCCATTTAAAACATATTAGGGGTTGAATTTTCCAAAATCCCGTCTTAGTGGATGCCTAAATCATAAAAGTTGGAAAAACTATTAAACAAAATTTATTTTAGAATCAGCTTAGAAGCGACCACCTCATTCCCAGGGGTTATTATAAAACATGTATTCATTTATATTGTTGCACGCCACTATTAATGTCTTGTACATGGCAACACTAGTTACACTAGCACCCTCTAGTGTCGAGTAAAAAAAAGTGTTGCGCGCCACTATTAATGTCTTGTACATGGCAACACTAGTTACACTAGCGCCCTCTAGTGTCGAGTAGCAGAACTAGCAGAGTCGAGATCCTTCCAGAAATTTCGGGACCGATATATACTCGAACATTCTAGATGTCGCTACAGTAGAAGGTTCTGGAAACTATCTGAGGCCCTATATAAGGCCGGTATAGACCACGACCGGGACAGTATTGAATTGGCGATACAAGTTCTCTTGTATCGTACTTCGAAGCGAAATAACGGCGAACTGTGTTTTATTATTAGTATGATTTTAAGTTGTAATTAGTGTTGCGTAGTTAAATAGTCAATTTTGGTAATTCACTCGGCAGTTTTTAATTATCTCGAACCCCAAGCTCGTAACAATATTATAATAACCATTTTTATACAGTTTTGTTTAATAAAATATTTAAATTTTGTAATAGAGATACCTTGTATATTTTCTGGGCCTTTGTAGTACTAGCGTGTATATTGCCCCAAGAATGAATTGCCGACTCTGTGGATTCGAGAAACTGGTATAACTAGCTTGTGTTTGTTTCTAGTGTTTATAGAGTGTATATGACTTTTTTTTACTAAAACTACCTTTGTTTTTGTGAATATAAATCAAAATTTATGTAAATATACTGAGACGCCAAAGTTTTTATTTATTTATTTAATAACAACCTTTTTATTTCCTTCCATTGATTCCCTGTTGTGAGCTAGTGTAACTGTGTTTCAGGAACTAGTTCCTCCCTTAAAGTTAGCCTTGTCAAAAGGTCAATTTCTAATAATAATAATAATGTAGTTATTTAGTAAGTTAAACAAGTACAGATATAAATAAGAAATTAAAAAAATGTTATTTTAAGCGCTTATTTGTGTGTGTGTGTGTGTGTGTGTGTGTGTGTGTGTGTGTGTGTGTGTGTGTGTGTGTGTGTGTGTGTGTGTGTTGGAATATATGTGCGTGAGTATTGCGTGTGGTGAACCTACGGCATAAGTGCTTCTGTGTTGTCATAATCAAGATTCTCTAACAACACTCTGATCCTTGCCTTTATTTGGTTACAGTAACTATTTAACTTTAATTTAAAGCCTATCCTGTATAACTTATTGTACAAATGCGGGGCAATGTAACTATAGTGTCTTTTCGCAAAAATACTTCTTTTTCTAGGGGTCGGGTATTTGAATGTCCTTTTCTTTGGAATTTTGATACATGGTGCAGTTATAGGGTGGTACCTTCGTATGTATTGATAGATAAAAAGTTTTCTTACGCTTAGTACTCGGGCTTTTTCATACACTAGTGTAGTTGGATAACGAAATGGAAGTAATAGCATTACTTTTAAAATACATCGTTGGGCACGTTCAGCTTCGACAAGAATTGTCTTACAAGCCCCGCCCCATGAACAGATACCGTAACATATTAAAGATTCACAGAGAGTCCTGTAAGTTTGCAACAATAACTTTGGACTTGCTACAAGCCTAACTTACAAACATAGACAAGCTTTCTTATCTTTTTACTAAGTGATATTATTTGATGTTTCCACTGAAGCTTTTCGTCAATTATAATTCCCAAATATTTTATTGTGTTAGTTTTAGTTATGTAAGGGTAGTTACAAAATATTGGAACATTATCAAGTTTGTTACATGGACTTGTATGAATCTTTAATTTAAACTTGTCATTTCGTTGATCCGCTAGAGTTTTGCTGAAACAGATTAATTTTGTTTTGGTTGTATTTAGTGAAAGTAGATTATTTTCTAGCCAACAAGAAGTTTTGGCCAGTCCCGTCTCAGTAACTTGTTTCACACGCTCCCAGCTCTTTGCATGAAATATTATAACGGTGTCGTCAGCATACATAGTTATATTACCGGCGTTTAATTCAATTTTATTCATGTCATTTACGTAAGTTAAAAATAATGTCGGTCCGAGAGTACTGCCCTGTGGGACACCGTATGTACATCGCATCGATTGGGAGATAGTAACTCATTGGATTCTAGATAACCAATTAGCCTCTTGTTAACAATCTTTTCTACAATTTTGGACATGACCCTTAATAAATCTATAGGTCGGTAGTTACAAGCAAGGGTTTTATCACCTGCCTTATGAATAGGCGACACAGTGGCTTTCTTAAATATCTCAGGGAAAATACCTGATGAGAAACTAAGATTACATAGCTGCGATATTGGCTCCGCTAGAACACTATGAAACATTTTTAACATTCTTGTAGGAATTTGATCATGACACAATTACACAATTCTTCAATAGTTTTCTATGTTTCTTTGTTGTTTCCTGCATGTTTTTCGAGTTGAGATTGGTAATAGTTACACTTTAATGTTTTTATAATCTTGTTACAAATATTTCTATACTGTATATAGTAGTTTTTAAGGTCTTCATAATTTATATTATTTTTAAGTCTTTTATGAATTTTATCTGGCTTTCGTATAGATCTTACAACACCAGTGGTGATCCAAGGTTTTAATGGCCTATTTCTATTGAGATTTTTTTTTAGTTTCTGTGTTTATTGTAATAATTTTCTGCAACAATGTGATTAAGTACTGAGCCGCATCATTAGCTGATTGTAAACAATAAAACTCAGACCAATTAATAGATTTAAGTCTCTCTCCCATTTTGTAAAAGTTCATAATAGTCTTAGTTAAATAAATGCTTCTATCGTACTTCCCAATTGACGATGCTTCTAAACATAATAGTATTGGAGCATGGTCCGTAACGACACATCTTCTCGTCAGACATACCTCAAAACCTTAAAACGAAATTGTACAACCAGTGCGTGTTGCCAGTGATGACTTACGGATTTGAGACGTAGTCCTTCACTGCTGACCGTATGAGGAAGCTCAAGGTCACTCAGCGAGCTATGGAGAGGGCTATGCTCGGGGTTTCTCTGCGTGATAAACTTAGAAATGAGGATATTCGCAGTAGAACCAGAGTAACCGACATAGCCCAACGGATTAGTAAGCTGAAGTGGCAGTAGGCCGGCCATATAGCTCGAAGAACCGACAACCGATGGGGAAAAAAGGTTCTCGAGTGGCAGCCTCGTACCGGTAGCCGAAGTGTAGGGCGACCCCCCACTAGATGGAGTGACAGCCTGGTAAGACATGCAGGAAGTCGAT